CTGCACGTGCTCGACCCGCTCTTCGCCGGCCTCGACCGCCTGTCCGCCTGCCTCGCCGCGCGCGCGCCCCTCGCGCCGTGCGTCGTCCAGCCCCTCGTCGCCTTCCGCCGCCCGCGCCCGGCCCCGCCGCCCCGCCCCGACCGCGCCCCGCTTCGCGCTGCCCTCCAGGAGCGCCTGCATTCCTTGGCGGGCGCCGCCGTCGCCTACTCGAAACACGCCCGCATGGGCGCCCGCGACGCGCGCGAAAAAGCAGCCAGTGCTGCCCAACGGGTGCGGCACCGCACGGAAACCATCGCACGCCAGGTGTGTCAGCGCGAGGAGCTCGCAACCTTTGCAAGGGCTTCGGGAGCATTCTGGAACGACGTGCGTAAAGGCACGGAGGACGCTTGCAAAGACCCCGCGAAGGCTGCCAAACACGCACTGGCGCGCGTGGAAGCGATAGCATATCAAGCATGGCAACGCGAGGAGCTGGCACGCTTTGGGAGTGCATCGGGAGCGTACTTGAAGGCCGCGCGCAATGGAGTCGACTCTGCATTCGAAAAAGGCATGAAAGCTGCTCAACCTGTCGCTGATGAGGCAAAACGGACGGCATACCAAATCTGGCAAAGCGAGGAGTTGGCACGAATCAGCGGTATCTCGCGTAAGTATCTTCATGACACGCAAGCTGCAGGACAGTCTGGATACAAAAGCGCTTTGAGCACTGCTAAACGTATTCGACAAAGCACTAAAGAAAGGGTACACCAAGCATTGCAAGGTGAAGAGCTGGAAACTTTGGTTTCGCTTGCCAAACGCCTCAAATCTGACGTCGAGTTAAAGATGACTGACCCCACATATATCAATGCTCAAGCCGCAGCAAAAGCCGCGTACAGGGCTGCAGCCCGCGCTGCAATGCAGTATGGCCAAGACACGAAAGACGCTTTGAAACAGGCTCGGCGTCATCATCTCTCAAAAGCCTCTACCAAACCAACGAAGAACAAGAAGACGAGGTAACAAACAACTCTCTGCCTGAGCATCACATGCGTAGCAGTTTTGAAACACCAAATGCGTTGCGTATTCAGGAGAAACTCGCCTTTGATCTCTGCCCACAGAGTAGAAGCGTTCCTCCATTCAAGTTCAACCAATCAGTACATCACCACGCAGTACAGAACCACAGCACATGTTCTATATATACATATTTGACCACAGGCCACCGTCGGAAGGTATCGAGCAACCTCGCAAGCGGCTTCAAGTCTAGGTGGAGTGGTGCGGGAACGGCAGGATGCCGCAATTCAAAAAAAAAAAAAAAAAAACAGAAACGACTCAAGGTATCGAGCAACCTCGCAAGCGGCTTGAAGTCTAGGTGGAGTGGTCAATGACTCAATATGTAAAGCCAAGGAGAGTTCCCCCTTTCCAATACAAGTGCAAAATTGTACTCGCTTGTCTAGCTTAGTTCGTCCTTATCAATATACTGTGTATGCCGTGCACTGTATCCCTTGCTTATAGTTAGAGAGGCGCTGGGGATTCTGCGCACTCGAGCTATCCGGAGTGGCGCCACAGGAAGCGCGGTTAGAGGCCCGTAAAGGCGGACACTTCAGAACGCTTCAAAAGGGGTGTAGTCTTATATACCCGAAACGTTGATAACTGAGAGAAGACTAGCGATACCTCTTGAGAAGCAAACAGGGGTACCCAGTGCACATAGGCGGCGAAGCTATGTAATTTCTACGGTATATCGTTTGGTTTGAGCACATTTGTATTGACACTGCTGCTGCCAACATGGATCATAAATATCGAATAGTAAAGCTTGGCCACATCCAAAAACCTCCGCTGCCTCGTCTGAAGTGCGTGCCCCGTGTTGACAGCTTTCACCTTCGAAAACATCAAGGGAGTGGACCGCTGAGAAAGGCATTGTCGATAAACACTATACATGGAGGCAAAACGTTACACAGTGCATGCTGGAGAGATCTTGTTCTGGCTTTTTACCGATCCTGTACGTGTTTTTTTTTTTTCTCTCTCTCACGAAACACAGAGCATTTCAAGATCGTTCAGAGCCAAGGACAAGCACAATTTTGAATACATGCTCGGTTTGGCTCTTCATGGAGCTCGCACGGTTCTCAGCATGTGACATGAAGGATATTGCGATACGTCGTGTCACCACGCCAGATAAGCAGAGGTACTGTGTGGCCAGCGTGTTTCCCAACGGCTAGGAGAAGTCGGAGACCACAATTCTCCCTGCCCACATCCTTCTGTCAACACTGTTGCGGTCCGGCTTACCACTATATAAATGTCTGTCTTTAGTTTACAAACTGCCTGTGTTGCGCTATCCGCAAAGCATCTTTAGATCAGCCTCATCTCCAACATGCGAACCCTCCTCGGGATGTCTTTTCTCTTTCTTCTCTACGCTCGCACCCCATACTTCCTTCTTGCGTATCGCCCGATGATAGCAAACGCCTTGCGTGCACAATTCGGGTACATTCTCTTGCCCTATATCATCGAGACGGTGAAGTGCATTCGCAACGCTGATTCGAAGACTGATTTGGAGAACTGTCTAATGATACCACTCAAGTATGGGAAAACAGATTCTTCTTGGAATGTGAAAGACATTCTTTGACGAGACAGGCGCCCTCTGGGGGAATGAAATGACGCCAATGGGCAAAGGTTCAGTGGATTGGTTATATCAGCATGCTTTACGGAATACAGTCTGAAGTTGATTCACGGCGAGATCGGGTTTATACTGGTCTTGGGAATACTTACATGAACATCGTTAGAAGGAGAGACAGCTGAAATACTTGACTGATAAACATGCGAAAGATTCACTCTTCTCAAAAGTATTGAGATTCTTCCAAAACAAAAGCACTTAAGTCATTAAACCTGTTTACGAGGAATTCGGGATGCCCGAAAGGCCCGTCTGTGATACAGATTGCCAACAGTGGTCAGGGCAATAACCTCTCTCACTTCGATTTCGCTTTATTCCCCCACCCGGAGCTCCGCCGCCCTATCTTTTCGTAGCTTGTACAGCAGGAGATACAGAGCTTCCCGTGGTCGTATATTGAATTAGCTATGGCTTTGCGCTAACTTCGGTAACACTGAACATGACGTCAATTATCCCAACACAACTTGTTCTTACCATGTCCAGAAGGACAGAATCATCTTGAATGGGCATCGATGTGCGTCTCTGGAAGGCGCTTCGGAGTGTCCTTCTTTGTGGCAACTTTACAGTCGAGTCCCTGAGTCCAATGTCTATTGTTACCCTTCGCAATTCCATAGTTACATCTATCTCCCCGTGCTTTAAGAAACATGGTAGTTCTAAATCTACTGAACGATCACGACTCTAGTTCTTTGACTCTTTTCAGAGTCTTAGTCATTGTACGCGTTTGTTCTTCTTCCTCTGCGCTAAACACCAGAAACACAAGTTTCTCTTGCAATAAGGAAAACGCGATCCTCATCTGGGTCTTCGAATCATGCCATTATTTCCTTTGTGCAAAAAGATACAGTTCGTTGGGAAACATCATCATTACCAGGAAGTAGTGCAGATTTACTGTAGAAGCACCAATATCTTGATGGTACTCTAAATATTGCGTCAAATTTCTTGAAAAGGAAACCATTCAGCAAAGGAAGAATCGTTTCTCGGCTTCTCAATTGACGGATGTCCATGGCTCAGGCGGGCGACACATGGTGAGGCGGTTGCAGAACATGACAAAAAATCTAGTGACAAAGTACATCGGTTTACTTCGAACGATAGCAAAAAAGAGATGGTGCAGAGTAACTGTGCTTCGCTTCATTGTATCATTAGAGTACTCTTAGGATATTGATTGTATGCCCAGTGCCCTCGCAACTCATTCTAAAACGGCTCCCTGTAGATGGACCATTAACGGGCGAATCAGACATTTTTTTGGCAAGCCGACTGAGCAGCATTAATGCCCAGGCTGCGACTGGTGTTGGCAAAATTGCAAATATAAGAGGCGGATTACATCACCTATCTCCTTCGTTTGCATTCTCAGTAAGGTTTGATCATAAAAATATGATGTTCTCGCTTTGAAATGAAAATGCGTAAGAGGTTACACGGAATTCGAAATGGACTCGTCGTCTGTTCCAAAAACGTCTTCCTCATCCGAATCCAGCACGTCTTCTAAAGAGTTTGCAGGGATATAGCCTTTCACGAGAGGTAGAGGCTCTGCACGCTTGGCGGCTTCAGATGGGATACGGCTGAATCGGCGAAAGCACTCAGGTCTTCCAGGTGAATATCTATTGTAGTGGTCCTTCTCTTCATCTTCACTTGGCGTGTTTCTCCTAGATAACTGATGCTCTATTACTGAAGGTTGCGGAGAAATTCCAATGCTTTCACTGTCCAATTCGTCCACGATGAGCTGCTCTCCTGAGTCTATATTTTGGAGCCAGCGACGACTACCGCTATGCTGAACACATAGTTTGCTATTAGGCACAACACTTGCCTCGCAAGATTCCGACTTCAAATTGGTATCTGCAATGATTACTTGGTGTGCCTCACCCACACTCACTAACTTGCTCGGCAACTTTTTTTGCTTTTCGTCGTCGGCCTTATCTTCTTTGTGTTGTACTTCGACCTTCTCCTTGCCCTTGCCCTTGCTCTTCTTCCTCCGGTTTCGAGAAAACGGAGAATCCGTTGAAGCACTCGAGATAGCACTGAATAGAGGCTGTAGGCTTGGTTGCGATAGGAGTTTTCGGAATGCACTCATGTTGATGGGATGGAGATGGTGCTGTTGTCAGACCCTGATGTTCTCAGTTTTTGTGGAGGGATTCTCTTGACTCTGATGAGGGCGAATGTGTACTTGGCGCTTGTGAATGTATACTTATGTGAAGAAAGAAAAGCGTCAAAGAGGGGGAAATGATTCTCAGCGACTCTCAAATTTTGGTTTACAATAGTTCCACTAGCAGTTGATGTTCGAATGACTGCGGACTGGAGCACCAGGTCTCCTTTCTATGAATTACTTGTACTTCGTCTCAGCGATTGGTATGAGCTGCCAAATGTACCTGAGAGATCTTTCAGCGGCTCCACTGAGAGCTTGTATATCACATACATAGTAGATCGTGCTTTTGCAGCAGACCTTCAGAATTTCGTTTTATTCATTTGTCAATACTGACTTCCAGATCTTGCAAGACGGTACACTCGCCGCTCGTTCGATATAATAAATAATTGAGACATTAAAGGAAGAGTGTTTGCTTCACAGTGAAGAAATGAGAGGCGTACATCACTCCCGCTTTACTGGACTGCGGATGGATGCAGCGAATCTGTTTCGGTTTCCATATTTAGGTACACCGCTCTTACAAGATGCAGAAATGGTTCTGAATTTTTCGCGCAGCAATTACTCGAGAAAACGTTTTCATTCTACACGGTGTGCAAGGCCCGCATTCTGCGAAGTAGGCTTCAAAAAAAGCTTTGCAGGGGGACTACACTGTTCAGAATTTTTAATAGAATCATGAAACGACGCAAAGACTTCCACAGAGGTTTAGAGCCCCTAGTACATTTCCCACGTATGGTGAGTAGACACTACAGAAATGGTGTAAATATTCAGCAAATTACTCGTTCGTCCGTCTTTATCTCAAGTTGCTCTTCATATGGCAGATGAAGTTGTTGCTTTATGTATCAGATGAAGCAATTTATCGTGAGCCTTTTTTTCAAACTGTAACAGTATTCCAAAGTTCCATCCCTTTCGTCTATGTAAGAAGAGTTATCCTCGTTTTAGTGTTGAGCAGTCTTTTTGTATGTATATTGACTCCAGTGGAACCATGTTTGTGGGACGATATTTGCGGCGTGAGATTCACGTAAAGATACATAAACAAAGCCCCCTCATAGAGCCTCTTCTGATAGCAGGACGAATGGTCATCAAATGTGAAATCTCGTACGATATATTTCCTAAATTTGTGCTACTCTAGTCTACAAGTGCATGATTGCACACTTTTGCTGTCGTGGTGTATTTCTTTTGGTGGCCCCGAAAAGCTCGACACGAGAAAATCTGTTAAAGATCCAGGTCAACTGTAGAAGACCCTGTTCCCACCTACAGCTTCACCTACATCGTTCAGGCTGCCAACGCACTCATTAAGTGGAGTGTGACAAACTAGTTTATGTATCGGGCGTGCGAGGTTGAGGTACATCTGTTGAAATATGGAAACACTTGAAGTCTTGTTCGTAAATTCTCACCAACATATTCTTGAGCTGTGGATCGTTCCTCAGGTCATCATACAAGTGGATTTTATGAGCCGGATCGGTGGAGTGCATCCTTCTTAGTTTGCTTTCTGGCATTCTTCTATCGGTATGTTGATACATCCAATTAAGAACAACATCGCGATCGACGTCAAGCGACTCAAAGCGTCCAACGTAGTCAAGATGGATAAGATCCGGGTGCAAAAGCTCGACTTGCGGTCTCCAGTGGAGATCCCTGCGACCATTGTTATCTTCATATGCGTCTTTTGTCCAAAAATCGGTGCTTTTGGTTCTGGGTTGTTTGAGAACTTTTTCTATTGCTTGCAAATATTCTCGGAAAGAAGGTTTTGTTTCATTTCTCAGCTTTCTCATCTGGAGATCGTCTCCGTATAGTCCATGCATCTGTTTTTGATATTCCTTTGATTCCGGTCCGAACTGGGCAACTTTGTCCAGGTAGGCACTAATGACGCGATCATATGGATTCCTTACAAAGCCAAACTTGAGATACTCCGGGTCCTCGAAGACTTTCCTAATAAGTTCAGTGCTCCTACTGTATATCGTGTGATTTTGCCAAGCGGGCCCTCCCATTTCGTGCAGATGGAAGTCCCTTTGCCCGGGATCCAACAGTTGTTGATTCATTATGAATGGGTTGTTCTCCAAGTAGGCGATGTTGTACATCATGGAAGTGGTGCCAACTTTAAAGACAGGGACATATATGACCTTGAGTTTTTCCGACACAATGATAGAAGAATAGGCCGGACCATAACTTCGGAGTTCTATGGCATGCATGCCCGGATGCTTTGGCCAGCGCGGGGTCAAGGCACTAATTTGGCGAATGCTTTGTAAGAGCGGAGCATTTCGGTGCGTTGGTGGGAGTGTAGGAGGAGGGAAGCCGTCGGGTGGGACTGGTACTCTTGTTGGGTTGTTGACATCTTCGGGAACGAAAATTGGAGCTGCAGGTGGATCGGGTTCGGCGAGCACATCGACTTGCCTCTCATCATGGTCAATGGTTTCACCACGCGAAGTGTGACTTGTCTCATTGCGGCGAGGGGAGTCTCGGGTAGCATTCCCGCCGTGGCGTTGCCGCGTTTGGAGCTCCGCAGCATTCTTTCCGCGCGGGGCATCTTCCGTGACGGTTGCGAGAGAAATGCGTGGCACGGAGACGTCGGTGTCCGTGAGGTACATGGAAATAGTGATCATCGGGACGACGAGGCAGAGGGCCAGGAAGAGCGAGTGGGGGCGGTGCTTGTCATGCTGCGCGGCATGGAGGTGGTCGTAGCGCAGCGGGGCGTGCGTGGACAGCCTACGCGCCTGCCTCTGTACGCGCGGGTGGCGCATTTCCGGGGGGGTCTTGGGGGGAGGGGGGGTGGGGCGAAGGGGGAGAAGGGTGCAGTTTAGACAAGTGATCGGCGATGACGCGAGGGTGCTACGTAAAGAGGTCGGCAGTTGGCACAAGGAAGACGCTCGCGGCGAGGCAGCGTGCGGGCGGTCTGTCGGCTCCGACATGAGTACTGCGCGCGGGGGCGGGGGCAAGGGGGGTGAAGCGGAATCCGGGTCCGGGAGTCGGGCGCGCCATCGACGGGCTCTGGGCGTGCGTGCGGGCGTGGCAGCGGCGTGCGACGGGCCACGCGCGTAGCAGCGCGCGTGGTTGCGAGACCGGTCACGCTCGGAGGCCGCGGCGGGCACAGCGCGGCCTTCTGCCCGCGCGAGCACGCCTCGGGGGCCGCGGAGGCGGGGCGACACTTTCCCTCGCAGCGCCGGGCGCGACAGCGGCGGCGAAGGGTGCCCCGCGCTGCGTCGGCGGGGCACCTTTGCGCTTGGGCGGGCAACCTTGCGTTTCGGCAACCTTGCGTTTCGGCGGGCAGCCTTGCCCCGGCGCTCGCGTGCCGCGGGGGCGGCACTTTCCGTGCAGGGGCGAGCGGCCTCCCGCACGCCCCGTGCGCGACAGCGGCGGGGAAGGGTGCTTTGCCCCCGCTTCGGCGGGCACCTTTGCGTTTCGGCGGGCAACCTTGCGTTTCGGCGGGCAGCCTTGCGTTTCGGCGGGCAGCCTTGCCCCGGCGCTCGGCCGCGGAGGAGGCACATTCCCTGGAGGGGCGACCTCCCGCACGCGCCGCGCGCGACAGCGGGGCCGCGTGGCGGAGATTGCGGTGCGGCGATGCGCGTGCGCGGTTTCGCTTGGCGGAGACCCGGAGGGGGGCGCTTCAGCTCCCTGATGGCAGGCAGGCACCCCGCGAAGAGCCGTCGGCTCACGCGCGCGCGGCATCGGGGCGCCCGGATGGGCCCGGCTGCACGCCCTCCTCCGCTGACGCTGCGCGGCCGTTTTCGTACGGCGCGCCATTCACCCGCGGTGGAATGAAGGGGCGGCGCGGCCACGCCACGCCGCGGAGGGCGTTTACGGCCCGGACGGACCGCGTACCGAAGGCAAGCGGTGTCTCGCCTCGGCGCGCGTACGCCCCGCCTCTGTCAGTGCCTCGGTGGAAGACGCACGCACGCCGAGGCGTCGCCGCTCTGTAGCTCCATCTCCGCGCAGTGCGCTCCCCGTCGCCGGACGCGACGAATCCCCTCGGTGTCGCCCCCCCCCCTCGCGGCCGAGCGTCCATAACCATAACCCGCTGTCGCCGATTTCCACACTTACATCCATCCACCCCTGCCATCGCGGCCCCGACACGCTCGGTCGGCCTATCATGCTGCGGCTCGCTCCGCCGCCGCCATCCCCGCCGCACTCGGCTTTTTCGAATGCCTCCAGCAGACCGCCACTACCCTCTTCCCCCCTTGCAGCCCGCCCGTAGCTCCGCAACGCGGACATCGCTCCATTCTTGGCTCGCCCTCCAAAACCCTTCATCTCCCCTTCCCGACAAGCATCAGTACAGCTCATTGCGATCCTCGTCCTCCCCGCTGCCACCTCCCGCGCCCCGCCATGCCGGCCTCCGCCCTGAAACGGAAAAGCGAGCCGGGTTCCAAAGGGGCGCCGCACGCGCGCGCCATCGCGGCGACCACCCCGACTGCGATCCGCACGCTGCTGCTGCTGCTTCTGCTCTCCTTCCTCACGCCGCTGTTGTTCTTGAGCCCCATGCGGGCGCCGCTACTCGCGGCGCGGCCGGCCGCCGCCGCGGCGCCCCCCCTGACGGTGGTCACGCTGTCGTACTCGCACCCGCACGAGCAGCGCAACCTGGCGCACAACTGCGCGCGCGTGTCGCGGACGCGGCACCGCTTCATCGTGTACACGGACGACCTCACGCCGCCGTTCTGCGACGTGTGCGAGTGCCGCGCGTACGCGCTGCGCCGCTGCGCATGCCCCGCGGGCGCGGGCATGTGCCCGCGCAAGAACCCGTGTGAGAAGCTCGCGTTCCTCGTAAGCGCGCTCCGCGAGCACCGCGAGATGGTCCTCCTCGACGACGACCTGCTCATCATGAAGGACTTCTTCCTGGACCGCCTCGCGCTGCGCGCGCAGGCGCACGACTTTCTCGCGTCGTACGGACACGCGCAGGGCGTCAGGAACGCGAGCTACTGGAGAAACTTTAATAGCGGGCTCGTGTTCATTCGGAGGATCGATGGGCTGGATTATGGGGCGATGGAGAAAAGGCTATATGAGACCGGCGGGAGTAGGGATCAGAGCATGCTGAGTTGGTTTGTGCAGGACAAGTACAGCAACTGGGACTCGCTCTCGTGGAGGTGGCACTGCCGAGGGCTGAGGAGGCTCGAGCAGGACATTCCGCCGGAAGAGTGCTATACGGTGCATGGGCATGACGAGGTCGATCAGGTGCTCAAGGAGCTCAATCAGACTCGGTTAGGGGAGGGGAGAGGAAGAAGGAGATGACGTGGCGAGTGACGAGTGCCTCCGGTAGAGCTGTAAAGATGGGTTAGGAAACGAGAGTACTGTACAGGGGGCGAGGGCACAGTACAGAAAACTTTACAGTGGGGGAGGTGGGATCAAAAGATGCGGCTTTGCACGCCTTTGGAAACGACGTTGGCTCTACGGATTTCTTTCCACTTCCACTTTGACTGTACCCTTGCTTGGGTAACAACCATGCCGGGGGTTGCCGCCCACTATGCCGCACGACCTGCAAAAACCTCAATGTCTTACTGCAGTAGTGCACATCGCTTCGTATCACCATCAGAGCGTGTAATCCGGAGCCTCCTTTTTTGCGCACCCGTATATTTCACATATTACTTTTGGCCCGCCACTGCCACGTCTTAAAGCAACAAGCACTTTCTAATCTTTAAAAACCCTGTCCCCCCCCCCCCCCCCCCCCGCCCAAGCCTCGTCAATCCCCTCCCCCAGCCCGCCCCCCACCCTCCAACCGCCTTCCCCACAGAGCCCCTCCCCACCATGGCCCCCCCCACCCTGCTCGTGATCGGCGGCAACGGCCAGACCGGCGTGGAGGTCATCCGCGCGTGCGCGGCGAGCGCCGCGAAGCCGCCGGTCCACGCCTTCTGCCGCACCCCGTCCAAGCTGTCCGAGTCGGACGCGGCCCACTGCGTCTCGGTCATCGAGGGCGACGCCCGCTCCGCCGAGGACATCGCGCGCGCGCTCGAGCAGGCCAAGCCCGACGCCGTTGTCGTCGCCGTCGGCCGCTCCGAGGACCTCGGCCCCACCGACGTGCGCGCCGCCTCCGCAAAGGCCCTCATGGACAGCGTCGCGCCCGGCGAGAAGTTCGACCAGGTCAAGATCGTCGTCGTCAGCAGCGTCGGCGCCGGCGGTACAAAGCTCCACATCGGTTTTGGCATCGGTATGCTCCTCGGCATGCGCCTCAAGCACGTCCTCGCAGACCACGACCGACAGGAGAAGGAGATCTGGGATAGGCTCGCAGACCAGAAGAACCGCGCTCTCGTCCTCCATACCACAGGCTTGACTACGGGACAGCCCGCAGGGGAGGTCTGCATCTTCGAGGGCAAGATCCCACACCCTAGGATCGATAGGGCCGTCGTCGCTAGGTTTATCGTGGCAGAGCTCTGTGGCACTTGCCCGAACTTTGGAAAGGCCATTTCTATCACCACGAAGAAGTAGCGCTTAGATTGTAGAGCCGCGCGGCGGAAACATCGTATGCATTGTTTCGAAACTTGCGGTATCATGTAGAAAGACTTGTCGGTGATCCGTACTACGCTGTGGGAAGAGTCACACCCTGGGTTTTTTTTTTTTTTTTCGGCTTGCTCGCTGCACCGTTGACGCCTTTGCGCCCTCCGCAACCACTAGCAACAACTGCTTCATTGCGCCCTCGTCCGTGCCACCGAGCCCTATCATGCTCCGCCCTAACTCTCTTCGTTGCGGACCACGTTGCTGGCCAGCTAGAGAGAAAGCTAGCTGTGCTTTTTGTGAGTTTCAAACACGTAACCACGTTGAACACGTGTACCTCTACGATGCCGTGCACTTTTTGTGTTTTTCGAATACATTTTAAAAGTTTAAAAAATATTTGACAAACATGTCTAACTGTACCATTGCCCCCCGCTCGAGCAGACTTCGAAAAGAGAGTCGCAGTGCTCCGCTCCGGCTCACTCTTGACGAGGTTAAGGTAGGCAACCACCGACACGCGGCAGCTTCCACTCGTCCTTCTGCTTTCCAACGTCGTCGACGGGAGACATGGTCGCGTCCGCCACCACCGCCTTCGTCTGCGGGCAAGGCCTCTCTCTGAACAACCTTTCGCGCCGCCCACGCACGCCCAACTGCAACTGCTTTGTCCCGTACCGCCCGCGCCTCGCCGTCGCCCCGTCAAGTCACGCCTACAAGTCCCGCCGCACCGCAGTAATCCTCTGCGCAGAGTCCGGAGACCCTGACCTAGCCCAGGACATCCCGCCCGCAGGCCTGGCGTCCCCGACGGGCTTCGCGCTGGGCGACAATCCGATCAACGCGTTTGCGACCCTATCCGACAGCGCCGACGAATATGCGCGCGGCGGCGCGTACGCCATCCGGAACCCGGCCGGGCAACTGTGTTACATGGGCTACTCGAAGAACATCGCCGCGAAGCTCGCCTTCCACGAGCGCCTGGTGCCGGAGCAGTGCGCCACGTTCCAGGTCTACGTCCCGCCGGTCCCAGAGGAGCTCATCTCACCGGATATGCTGGAGAGCGTGCTGGAGTACTGGGTGCGCGAGAATGGGGGCGTGCCGACGGGGAATACCGTCGATCGCGCGCTGTGGGAACAGGAAACCCCCGTCGATCGAAAGGTATTGTTGGGCTCGATCTTTCTTCTTTTTCTCGTCTCCTCGCTCGTCAAGCAGGTCATGTATTATACGACGCGATACTAATCGGCCCGCGCTTTCCGCCTTTTCGTTGCACGCACGGCTCTTGCGCCGATGTTTGCTTGCTTTTTTATTTTTTGGTCGCCGCTTGGGGAAAAATTCGACAGGAGCCGACCGCCAATCGCACGGGGGACGCGATGGAGGGGGAGCGCGAGGAGGATATTCCCGTGCGGGAGCGGACGACGCCGCGCCGCACGAGTGTCCGTGACCGTCCCGCGGACTCGTACGATGACAACTTTGTAGACAATTTTCGTTCGTCTTCCGGGTCGGCGCCTCGCCGTCGTAGGAAGGACGGGAGGCGCGGGTGGGATGACCCGGATGACGATTATGTCGAAGTGGACGTCGACCCTCTTGACCCCTTTTCCGCTTCGAATAAGAGACAGTCGACGAGAAGTGCGTGGGATTCGCAGGGTGAGGACGACGAATATGATGAGGACTGGATTCCCATCATAGCGCTCATGGGGTGCGCCGGACTTATTTGGCTCGTTAGTATGCTTGGAAACGCACTTCCCGCCGCGACGCCATCCTTGGGAATGTAAATACACTTTATATGGTATGCCGTTGTGTTTGAAATAAGCCGCTGCAAAGTCTCAATAACTTCATCGGACTTAGAGCTTCTGCAGCGAGCCTACGTCTGCATCTGGTCGGAGATTTTTTTGCTTTTTGTAATGCTCTTTTGCTACGGGTGGCTACGAGTAAGTTCCCTTTACATTGGTGCCACTTGAGGGGAGCTAATATCGAGGCCTCTTCCTATACATGTTAAGTGACGGCTTCTCCCTCAAGCGCATATACATTCTGTGTTTCAGTACTACAAATTATGAAATATACCCTCTAGTATACCCTCTAGTACACTTCTCTAGACAACCGCTACCTTATTTGCTTCAGTGGGCTTTCCACCGCCACCGTTGTCCTTCTCAAGAGCACCACCACGAATGGCTTTAAACCCGAGCCTTTCGTTGATGATACCAGCTTGAATGAGATCTCCGTCGCGAAACTCTCCCTTCAGGATGCCCTTCGACAAGGGGTTTTCCAACATGCGCTGAACAGCACGTCTCAACGGTCGTGCGCCGTACACGGGATCATACCCGACCGCAGCGACCATGTCCATGGCTTCTATGGATGCTTCGACTCTCATGTTCTTCTCCGCGAGCCGCTTGTTCACATCTGCCAATTGCAGTTCGGCGATGCGGCGAAGCACGTCCTTGGACAGCGACTCAAAGATGATGGTTTCGTCCAGTCGGTTGACAAATTCAGGCCGGAACTGAGACTGCAACGCGTTCATGACACGGGCGCGCATCACTTCCCTGAGAGACGGATCTCCGGCGACGTCGAGGATGTCTGAAGAACCGATGTTTGACGTGAAAATCATGACGGCGTTCGAAAAGTCAATTGTGCGACCCTGGCTATCCGTGAGGCGGCCATCGTCAAGGACTTGGAGCAGCACATTGGAGACATCCGGGTGGGCCTTCTCAATCTCATCAAACAAGACAACACTAAAAGGCCTGCGACGAACAGCCTCCGAGAGCTGTCCACCTTGGTCATAGCCGACGTATCCAGGAGGAGCACCGACAAGACGGGAGACGCTGTGCTTCTCCATATACTCACTCATGTCTAGACGAACCAAGGCCTGCTCAGAGTCGAAGAGCTGCTCTGCAAGTGCCTTGCAAAGCTCCGTCTTTCCAACTCCACTGGGCCCGAGGAACATGAGCGACGCTATGGGCTTGTTGGGGTTGGACAGGCCCGCGCGGGATCTCTGTATGGCCTCTGTGACAGCTTGGACAGCTTCCCCTTGGCCAATGACCCTCTTGGAGAGCTGGTCGTCGAGCCCGAGCAACTTTTCACGCTCGGAGCTGAGCAGCTTGGCGACTGGAATGCGGGTCCACGACGACACGACTTTGGCAATGTCATCCTCGGTGACCTTGTCCTGTAGAAGGGCTTCGTGAGCGCCGCCTCCTTGGGTCTCTTCCAGCTTTGCGAGTTTCTTCTGCAAGTCGGGCAAGGTGGAGTACTTGAGGCGGGCAGCACGATCGAGGTCGTAGGCCTGTTCGGCGTCTTCAATCTGGCGGGTGGTGCGATCGATATCTTCCTTTACCTGCTGAATGTCGTCCAGCGAGACCCTCTCGCTCTCCCACTTGGCCTCGAGTTGCCTCTGCTCCTTCCTGACTTCCTCAATGTCGTTTGACAGGCGTTCGAGACGCTTGCGGGCGCCCAGGTCCTGGTCATTCTTCAGGCTGAGGCGCTCCATCTCCATCTGAATGACGCGGCGGTCCAGACGGTCCAGCTGTGCGGGCTTGGAGGTGATTTGCATCTTAAGGGCGGCCATGGACTCATCGACGGTGTCGATGGCCTTGTCCGGCAAGAAGCGCTCGGTGATGTAGCGGTTGGACAGGGTGGCGGCGGCGACAAGGGCGTTGTCGGTGATTCGAACGCCATGGTGAATCTCATACTTCTCCTTGAGCCCCCTCAAGATGGAGATGGTATCCTCAACGGTGGGCTGGTCGACAAGGACCTGCTGGAAGCGGCGCTCCAGGGCGGCGTCCTTCTCGATGTACTGGCGGTACTCATCCAGGGTGGTGGCGCCAATGCAGCGCAGCTCGCCCCTGGCCAGCATGGGCTTGAGCAAATTGCCGGCGTCCATGGCGCCTTCCGTCTTCCCCGCGCCGACAACGGTATGGATCTCGTCGATGAACATGATGACGCTGGGGTCGCTGTCCTTGACCTCGTTGAGGACGGCCTTGAGACGCTCCTCAAACTCGCCGCGGAACTTGGCGCCGGCGACGAGGGCGCCCATGTCCAGGTTGACGAGCTTGCGATTGGCAAGCGAGGTTGGGACGTCGCCGCTGACAATGCGCTGGGCGAGGCCCTCTGCGACAGCGGTCTTCCCCACGCCGGGCTCGCCGAGCAAGATGGGGTTGTTCTTCTGGCGGCGCGACAGGATCTGGATGACCCTGCGAATCTCCTCGTCCCTCCCAATGACAGGGTCCAGCTGTCCCTTTCTGGCGGCATCGGTCAAATCCCTTCCATACTTGTCCAGGGCCTCATAGCTGCCCTCTGCGTTCTGCGAGGTGACCTTCTTCCCGCCCCTGACCTCCTTAACGGCGGCGATAACGTCCTCCAGCGAGGGCATGCCGGGCTTGTTGAGCAGGCCCCTCTGCAGGCGTCCGTTCGCCCAGCAAGCGAGGAGCATGTGCTCGACGGCGACGAACTGGTCGCCCATATCGCGGCTGCGCGCGCGCGCGTCCTCGAGGGCCTCGCGCAGCGAGCGGCCCAT